TTTGGAACCACACCAGGCAGTCCTCTGGGCTCACTCCTAGCTCTGTGCTCAGAGATCATGCCTGCTTTGTTCAGGGGGACATATGCATTGCCAGAGTTCGAACCAGGGTTGGCAAAGTACAAGGCAAAAACATCTTGACCCCTGAAATACATCTTCGGTCCTATGGCCTTATCAGTGAAATGTTTGAAGTAATTTTCCTGCAGAGCTGTTCAATAATAATGAAAATTGGTCCATGATTATTGGCTTGTACAAAGAGAAGTGTTTAAAATAAGAAAAGGCAGGATATTAAGACATAGAAATCTTGTGCCTTATTCATCAATCTTACACTTGCTATTCATTACTTCAGTAATGCCAAGGCCAGCCCCTTCGCTGGTACTAGGACTTCCTTAGAAGCCCAATCAATCATGGTCATGGCTGACTCCTTTGAGGCCTGAGTTCTCTGTATCCCTGAGGGAGACTGGGAATAATCATTCTGGATATTTTCAGCCAACTCCACACACTGAACTTCTCTTCCTATTATTTTAGGCTGCCACCAAGCATGTCCGAGCCTCCAGTCATCCATCATCTCTCGTGCTGTGACCTTCACACTTTCTTCCTCTGTGCTCATTCCTTTCTCAGTTCTTATTCCTCTCTGAGTTAGGATCCTGTGTGAAGCAATTAACATAAAACCACAAATTCAAACTGACGTGAACAATAGACTCACATAACTGGAAAGTCTAGCTCTAGGTCAGACTCAGAATGAGTTGAGCTCGGCGTTCAGCGATGTCAGTAAATATTTGGTTTCCTTTCTTTATTTTTCCATTCACCGTGTTTACTTAGTCTCTAGCCTTGTTCCACTCCTTCTCCTAAGGTGGATGAAGGCTCCAGCCAGACACAGGCTGGCTCACTCACACTCAGTCCACATGAAACCCCTTCTCTTCGGGGATATCTGAGGGTAGGCAGCACCTGGAAATTGTGAGGGATTTGTGGGTTCTGGAGAGAAAATGCACGTAATTTGATAGGGAAAAGGGCTGATTGTCTGAATAGTCATCTGCTGTTAGTTCCAACTTCTCCCTTGTTTTTTCTGAGACTCTGGTCCCAGAGTAAACAAAGCCCTCCACTTTTGTTTTGTTTTGTTTTTCTTTGGGACCACGCCCAGCGATGCTCTGGGGTTACTCCTGCCTCTGCACTCAGGGATAATTGCTGGCAGTGTTCAGGGAACCAGATGGGATGCTGGGATCAAACCTGGGTCTGCCCACATACGATACAAATGCCCTACTTGTAGTACTATCCTTCTATCCCAGCCTTCCACTTCTGCTTCCTCCACATCATCTCTCCTCCTTGGAATGTTTGCTGAAATCCAGTAAGTCCTTGGGATCTCATTTCCATAGGTCCCTCTTTCTTCTATCCCTGCATCCCACAAAGGGAAGAGCCCCATCATCTCTGTTCCAGCCAGACTGTACACCGCTGTGAAACCTCTTCTGGGCTCACATCCTGGATCCTGCTGTTCCATTTACTGCTTTTATGTTTCTACCTGGGGAGCTGGAGTGATAGTACGGCCGGTAGCGTGCCTGCGTGCAGCTGACTTGGGTTTGATTCCCCAGCACCTCAGATGCTCCCGAATTCCAGAAGGGGGGATCTCTGAGCAGAGCCAAGACTAAGCCCTGAGCACTGCTAGATGTGACCCAAAAACAAACAGAAAAAGAGCCTTTGGGCCAGAGAGGAAGCACAGCAGCAGGTAAGGCGCTTACTTGCCTTGCACATGATCAACACTCCCTCCTTTCCTTGGTGTTTCTTTCTTTTTTCTCCCAGATCTCTGGGGTTGGTTCCCCGGTCATATGAGCACCCCCTGGAAGGCCCCTAAAAAACAATGATGCGATCTGGGTTCCTTGGTTGCTCAGAAGAACCTGTGTCATTTGAATTTTGTTTCCTATACCTTCTGTATTAAAGTCACTAGAAAAACATTCTCTTTTACAGTCTCATTATCCTTGATCCTTCTTTTTTACAACTCCTTAAAAAAAAACAGTATGGTTTGGTCTTCCTTCCACCTCAATTATTAAACTAGAGTTAGTGCTCAGTTCTTGTGCTCAGTTCTCACTCTGCGAACTCCCTTGGGCCAGTTCAACCACCCCTACAACTGCAATTACCATTTAATATTAATGAATTCCTTATCGTGCCACTTCAAACTTGGCTTGCCCAATATTGACTCTCCCTTTTTACCCTGTGGGCCTCTTCCTCGTCTAAGTTCCCAAGTTCCCAGTTGTGATGGCTGCATTCACATTCATCTATCCCGTCCTGGCCTGAAACTTCACCATCCACAATTCTCTCTCACACACACCCTCATCCATTTAGAAGTTAGGCATCATTATTGATTGATTCCTGCGTCTCTTTAAATCTCTCTAGCTCTCCCCATTTCCTAGTTCACTGTATAATAAATCATATGCCTCAATTATAGTTTCCCTCTAGATTGACTCTCTTTTTCAAACCTTTGGACACACTGTAATCTGATTCCTCTAAGATGCCTATCTTATCTCTCACCTAATTAAAACCATCTCATTGGCTTCAGAATAACACTGAATTCTTTAATGAGTCCCAGGGGCTCCTATTTTCTAATCCCTACTTGCCTATTCAGAGGTCTCTCTCTTTATAGCCATTGGCCTTTGGATAATTTCTGCGTCTTATCTATGATTTGGCTTGCCTGTTGCTCTTTCTACAAAGTCTCCCTAAAATAGCTCCTCCCTCTCTCAGAGAGAGACTTATACCCACAGAATCATTTCAATAGAGTAGACTTGCCTGTTGATCATTGTGTTCCTTCTACTATATCACAATCACAGGTTTCCTCCCAGTTGGCCTTATCATTCTTATTGTCTTTCACAGTGACTACACACAATGCACACCTATTTAATATTTGTTGAGTAATTACATTGAATAAACCCCTTAACCTCTTTGAGCTTCAATTGTACCATCTGTTGAAAGTGGTTAATTCCTTGCTTTCCATATGGGGTTTTGGGGAGTCTTATAAGATCAATGAAATTTTAGGATAGTAGGTGAGAATGTGGGTTCATAACTTCTCTGTTTTTGTTTTTTCTTTGGTCAAATGAGAATTGTCACAATATTTCACTCATAGGATGTTATAAGTACCAAACTGATAAATAGAAGGTATACTGCCTAGTACATTTAACTATTAATTATATTGTTTTACTTATAAGCTCTAAAATTAGAGCTTTAGTGTGTATTTAAACACAAGAGTGAAGGATTGGTATCATTTGTTTTCTGATCTCAGGAATGAACCCAGGGCTTTCCCCATGTGTGGCGTGACACTACCATAGAGTTACATTCACAGCCGAGGATTGATGTCATCCTTGCTTTCAGTTTTCTTTTAAGATAATGCTATAGCGATACCAGAACTTGTTTTCCAAGTCTCAAATTCAAATGATCGTTCTTGATTTGCATACAATTTTAGTAAGACATTTTTATTGGTGTTAGGCATTACAAGAGAATTGATTAAATGTTTTCTTGCTGAATTTCAAAAAAATTTTTTTTCAGCCAAGGGAAAAACAAGAAAGATGACTGCTTTCATTTATGAAGAATAATGATCTCTTCCCCCACTCCTAATGTTATTTTTGTATGTTAAGTGAACAATTTGGTATTTGAAAAGTGCAAACTCCATTAAGTCTATAACTTGTGTTTCTAATTTCCCTCCATCTCACTTCCTTCTGTGATGAAGGCAGTGAAGAAGATTAGGTTGGTGCTGTCATGTTTGGGGGTTGCACACAGGTCTATTTGTGGTGCTCACAGTTCTTTGGGTGTTTTTTTAGCTGCAGTACTCAGCAGAGGTCGCATGAGACTGTGGTGCTCGCGCTCTGATTCCGGCACTCTGCTCACAAGACCTGCATGCTTTCGTTGTGGTCCGTGCACACTTGTATCCATGGGCGGCCACACTTGGTTAAGTAAGGCACATGAGTCATAGTGGTGTTGCCACCTGGAGATCTCTGGTGATCACACACAGGCACGCCAGAGGCCACACGACCTGACCAGGGCACTCACCCATCCCCATTTTGTGATGCTCACACACACGCATCTTATGCAGCCAGAGATCATTTGTAGCCCCAGAGATCACAGACAGAAAAGTGGCCCTGGATCATGCTTGGCATGGATGGAGGAGAGGGATTTGAACTTGTATCCATAAGCTTTCAAAGAAAACACCCTAGGTAGTCACAGGTAGACCTGGTCTCTGGACTGAGATCTCTGGAGTCTTCTCCGGGTGGGGGCAGGTTGAGTCCCCCACCCCACCTCCTCCAGCATGCAGATGACCCAGCTCCAAGACTGCTCTCAGAGAAGCGCCAAGCTGCTGAATCATCCCAGTTCCCCAGCGCCTGGACATTTCCAAATTTTACAGTACTGATAGCCCAGTAAGAGCACAGCAAATTAGGTGGTAAAGCTGCATAGAAGCCAACTAAGTTCAGTGAGCAAAAATAGTAATACAGAAGGCACGACTAGCACTTAACAGCTCAGTTAATCCTCAGATAATGACTTCACTAACACCATTGTGAGTTCTATGTTGTAACGTGCAATGTAAATTAAGTTATTTTGTGCCTGTTAAGGGGACAGGCTTGCAGGGTGGGTGGGAAACTGGGAACAGCCATGGCAGAGAGGCCACACTGGTGGGAGGATTGGCGTTGAAACATTGAACACCTGAAACCACTGCATTGTGAACAACTTTGTAAACCACGGTGTTTGTATAGTTTCAAACATTAAGGGGAAAATACAAGGAATGACACTCTAGACCCTGCACTATCTTCACGGCCCAGGTCCACAATTCTTTCAGAAAAATACAAAACACATTTCATTTTGTGCAGATGTGTTCACCTAAAAAAAAGCGTTTCATTTTATTTCAAAGGGTGCTTTTATTCATTGTTTAAAATTTAAATAGAAAATTCATGTTGACTTTGGACTGATGGAGATGCCTAATTTTTACTCCTTTAAAAGTTTTTTTTTGTTTGTTTCTTTGTTTGTTTTAGAGTTGGTGGTTCCAGGTTCTTACTCAGAATGACTTTAGGAAGACAAGTGATGTCTCCTCTTCAGGCAATGTCTTCTGATACTGCGGCTGGCAGAAACGTTCTGAGATGGGATCTTTCACCAGAGCAAATTAAAACAAGAACTGAAGAGCTCATTGCACAGACCAAACAAGTGTACGATGCTATTGGAATGCTTGACATTGCGGAAGTAACTTACGAGAACTGTTTGCAGGCACTGGCAGATGTAGAAGTGAAATATATAGGTGAGCAGGATTCAGTCAGGTCAATATTTCCTTTTGCGGGCATTGTAAGCCATTTTATGCTTTCTGGACTCGGAAGTCCATTATTTAGTTTTACTAGGCATTAATTTCTACTGAATGATTGCTGACTTACAATAAAATTACCTGACTTTCAAAATTTTAATTATGTTGACAGAAGTGTTATAAAGTGTACAATCCCACTGCATTGCCTTCTAGAGAGCATTTTGACAACATTATCAAAACTTCTAGTGAATTCATACCTTAGCCTAGTTGTTCTACATCTAAGCACTTAATCTGAAGTAATAATCAGATATAGGAAAAACTGTATAAATAGGTGCTGTATGTGTGATAGCAGAAGTTTGGAAACAGTTCCTTTATTATCAGCTAATAGTATGGCTTGATAAATTTTTGTACATTCACCTTCTGTAATTCTGTAACGAAAGTAAGTAGGGTGGCTGGAGCTATAATACAGCGGGTAGGGCATTTGTCTTGCATACAGCTGACCCAGGATTAGTCCCTGGCATCCCATATGGTCCCCCAAGCACCGCCAGGAGTAATTCCTGGGTGCAGAGTAACCTCTAAGCGTCGCTGGGTATGACCCAAAAAGCAAATAAAACAGCAACAACAAAAAATGAAAGTAAGTTTGGGAACAGTGTTTCAGAAGAGGGCAAAAGGACAAAAACGGAAAAGCAGCGGAATCACATATAATAATGTCTACTATCTTGGGTGTTAGAGTTGTAGCTGATTGTGACTTTCTTCTCTCCACCTCTATTCACAGAGGCCACTCCTGGCCAGGCTTGTCCTGGCTGGACGGCAGATGATTCAGTGCTGGGAACCTACAGCATTGCTCAGCATTGCTCAGACCCAGCAAGGCCAGGGACCACCAGGCCCACACCCGTGGTGCTCAGGGCTCTTCCCAGAAATGCTGGGGCTCATGAGATAATGGGGATGAAACACTTCGCTCTAGATGCAAAGTGTGGGGCTGGAGCAGTAGCACAGCGGGTGGGGCGTTTGCCTTGCACGCGGCCAACCGGATTCGCTTCTCAGCATCTCATGTGGTCCCCTGAGCACCGCCAGGAGTAATTCCTGAGTGCATGAGCCAGGAGTAACCTCTGCGCATCACCGAATGTGACCCAGAAAGAAAAAAAAAGTTATCTGTAGAACTTGAACATTTGTTTGTATTCTGGAATTAAGAAGGTTTTCTAGAATCCCATGCAGTCATAGTAACTTGTTACCTCTCTCTGTCTCTCTGTCTCTCTATCTCTCTGTCTCTCTGTCTCTCTCTTTCTGTTTCTGTCTGTCTGTCTCTTCTGTCTGTTTGTTGGTTTTTTTTTTTTTTGGTTTTGGGGCCATACCTGGTGTTGCTTAAGGGCTTCTCCTGGCTCTGTGCTTAGGTGTTGCTGCCAGCCATGCACAGGGGACCATGCAATGCTGCATGCAAAGCCAGAGAACTCAATTTGTTGCATTATCTAGCCACCTAATTGTTCGTCTCTATACCTCCCCAATTTCAAATCTTTCACAGCATGTTCTCTGCTCTGTGTTCTACTATATTAGATGCATGATGCTTTGTCTTACCACTGTATTTCAGTTTCTGCCTCTAAGTGCTTCATTCTCATTAGAAGTCACTAAATCTCGTCTTAAGTTTAAACTCTTGAATATGAACTGAAATGATAGCTCCGTGAGCTGAGGCGCACACAGTCATTCTGGATTTCATCACTAGAGGACCACTAGGCAGTGACCTCCAGGCACCAAGCTTAAGCACCTAAGCACTTACCTAAGTACCACTGATTGTGGCTTAGAAGCAAACAAACAAATCTAATCTGTCAAAGTTAGGGGAGGGAGTTGGTCCCTGTTGAGCTGAGCTGACCTAGCGAAATATCTCCCATCCGGTGTTTTGTTCTTGAGTCAGATACTTACTTCTTCAGTCACTTATGGTCAAGGTGTCGTGCCAGTGTGAAAATGTATTTCAGAAATGTAAAAATCTACAGGGAAAGGGGAATTGTTTTTAGCATTCTTAAATTGTTTCTCTCCCATTAGCAAGTCTTCTAAATATACTTTTCTTAAAATTCTTTCTCTCACATAGGTTTCTCTTTGGGCATTAATCAAGGAATTATTGAATGTAGGAGTAAATGGTTCAAGAATAGCCTCTGTGTATATTCTAGTCTCCGTGTATGTTCTCAGAATTTATTCAGCCTCTCACAAGAGCCACTCTGTGTTATGTCAGGCTCTGGGCAGCCGCATTGTTTATAGCTTGGCAGAGCGAGCCAAAGGCTGGTTCCAGGTCTTGTGCAAAGGAAGGAAGGAAACGGTTTTCCGAATTATTGTTTGTTTAAGACTATTCTCCCAATTTTAAGCTCCTGAATTTCAGTCTGTGTGTAGAAGTTTTTAAGTAATTTTGATTCTTCTCAATGTCATTTGGAGGGGGCATAAGGGTTGGGGGGGCAGGACACACCCAGCTGTGCTCAGGGCTAACTTCTGGCTCTGCACTCAGGCAGTACTTGAGAAACTACATGGGGTGTGGAGGACTGATCCTGGGTCAGCCACATGCAAGGCAGGCTCCCTGCATGCTGTACTATTGCTCTGGCCCTTCGCAGTATCTTTTTGAGCTCATTTTAAAACGCAAATTGTGACTCTGGGATGTTTGGCTCGAATACTTGAAGCACTGTGTGTTAAATCAGAAATCTCTTTTATTGAAGGACATAAAATTTCATATGAAATCAAATTCTGAAGGAATCATTAGCTAGTCTGTTTAAAATACATATTATTCATTTATTCACGTTTTTATGGCCATGTTCATAGCTTTATTCATTGCAGTTTCTGAAGAAAACTGAGCTGAATGAGGTCGTTCAGAGCGGTGTGTCAGATGTAAAACCTGCCACTCCTGGTCTGCCTTTGCAAGCCTGGCCGTGCCCGGCACCTGCAGAGTACCAGTGTCAGGCCAGAAGTCAGCTCGGTGGAAGGATGAGTGCATGCTCTGTGTGTGTGAGTCCCTGGGTTCAGGTCCTGGCACAGCCGCACAAAAAAAGTACCAAAGAGAGAAAATTAAAACTAGATTCATTGCCACGGCCTAGCCACACGCATAAATCACACTCTTCACTCCCCCTCCCTCGGTTTGAGTTGCTTTGCTGACATCGGATTATTGCCCAGTTAAAGTCAAATGCCAGTGTGTGAAAGGCCCAGGAACTAACTTTTTAACATGCAAGAAAGAGAGCTGGCTACGTTCTTGCCCTTACTTCACAGGAACCGCTTCCCTGTGCAGCCATTCACTGCACCAAGGGCTCTATGGACAAGGTTCAGAACTTCTACTCTAAACAAGCCCCATCCCACTAAATTGTTCCGCATGTTTCTTAAACATCTTTTGTCTCTGCCAGTGTCCCTGCTTGCTATCGCTACTTCTCTCCCTTCCCCTTGGCTTGAAATGCAGTTTGGTTTTGCGTCCCTTCTTGTCGTGCCAGTCTTTGCTTCTCTAATCCCCAACTAAGCCCTTGCCCTCCCCCGTTCTCTGGAGTCCAGCCTTCTCCGTAAGTGACCCCGCCCTTCATTGGCTGCCTTACTCTTACCCTGTCATTCATTGGAGAACAAATCTACCCTGTCCTGTGTTGTTTATCATTTTTATGTGCGGTTTCCTACACCCACTTCCTAGATTCTAAAATGCCTCCGTCTGAGAACTGTCTTTATCTTTCTACATTCCTAGTTAATAAATTAAACGCTGAGTATACTTTGATAAGTGTTCACTGCACACTAGTATTGTTCCTAATCAGGCCACTGGAACAGCCAAGTCCTCTATCAGATGCTAAAAAAAAAAATTGGCTATCCAAAAACCTTTGTAAAATGTTGGAAATGAAAATGCTTTCAAGAGCATTCATCTAGGTCGCAGTGACTTTCCTACGTGCTGGTTTGATGAGTCCTTCCAATTCTTCCCTCTTAACAGTGGAACGAACCATGCTCGACTTCCCCCAGCATGTGTCCTCAGACCGAGAAGTACGGGCCGCCAGCACAGAGGCAGACAAAAAGCTTTCTCGGTTTGATATCGAGATGAGCATGAGAGAAGACATATTCCGGAGAATCGTTCACTTACAGGTAAGCAATGTTGTAAGGAAAACAAGCATTAATATAATTAGAAAGAGCCAAAAGCTTTGAGCACTCGTAAAAAGCATTTGAGAGCCAGGATACTGTTTGGTGGGTAGAGCACCTCCCTAGTACATAGGACGCCTTGGGTTTGATTCCTGTCACCACCTGACACTCAGACTCTCATGCCCCACCCAGGGCACAGCTAGAGAGGCCCTGGTGGCCCCACGACAACAGTAACAACTAAGAAAAGCATCTTTGTGACCCTAGATATTATTTCCAATTATTTAGGTGATTCAGCACAGTGTTACATAATGTTGCATTCTACCACTGAGGTTTATGCTAACTTGTCAGTTGCATTCACTTAAAATTCAAGACTAAGGAGTCAGATGGTCTGGGGTCTGGGCACTCGCCTCGCATGCAGCTGGCTGGGTTTAGTTCCCAGCACCCCATATGGTTCTATAAATACTGCCTAGAGTGATCCCTGAGCACCATCCGGTATGACCCCATAACAAAAAGAAATTAAAGACAGACTGTATAAGTGTATATCATTAAATCTAAGGTTTTTCAATCAGCATGAACTTAATGGGTCAATGTTAAAGCCTCTGTGAAATTTTTAAATGTTTCAAAGTCAATATTAGATCACATCAAAAGGAACTGAATTGTTTTATCTGTGGGTTCATGTGGTTTTGCCCATCAGCGACAAAGTGTTAATTACTATACTCTGGAATCATTTGTCTTCCTAGATTTTTCAGGACTGAGAAATTATGGGGCTCAGGGAGAGTCTGTCTTGAGTGTTTTGATTTGCTTTCTAGCATTTTCACTACGGTTTTGTTGTTGTCGTTGTTGTTTGGTTGGTTTTTGGTTTGGGAGTCACACATAGTGGTGTTCAGGGCTTACTCTTGACTCGTGCTCGGGGATTGTTCCTGGTGGTGGTTGGGGAACCATATGTGGTGCTGGACCTAACCCGGGGCAGCTGCGTGCGAGGCAAGCACCACACCCATTTTACTTTCTCTCCAGTCCTATTAACTATGTTTTTACTTTGAATTTTTATTTTACGGAACTCAGCTATTTGTAAAGCAACTTGCATTTTACAATGCTAGTCATTTTTGTTTAATTTAAATGTTTCTTTAGACAGAATCTCAAAAGTTTTTATTTCATTTAACAAATTATGTTGAGTTAAAAACAGGTCTACTCTAAATGTCTTATTTGCAACTCACTATAGAATATAGAATCAAAACTTTATTTAGATATGTGAAATGTCAATGCTATCTGTTCTCTTATGTCTAACAAGCATTTTTTACCCTATGATTTATAATCATCTGTGTGGTTGATCTGGTTAACTTTGGCACTCTAAAAAATAACAAATTAAAATAATTTTGTGATTACACTTTATTAGTTATATTGGTTTCTTTCTTCTTTTGACCTCAGTCATTACTGTATGTCAGAGATTCCGAAACTTACTTGATTTACCACCCTCTTTTCAGAAAAAAAAATATATCACTTAGACATTCCCTGAAAATCTGCCTTCTTTAAGCAAACAAACCAAATGAGTCCTCCCAGTTGCACCCAAAGCTATTACCACCCCCTGGGTCATTTCAGCCCTCCCAAAAGCACTTTATGTGATTCAAATCCTAAGAGTAAACTCACCAACCGAGGCACACTACTACATTCACCAGGTTTGTTCTTTTGTTTGGGTCTGTTTCCTTTGACTTTTGATCTAATAATAGTTTCAGATTCAGTTTCAGGATTTTTCTGCTTTTCAGTGGAGTAATTACTCTAGTACATGCATATAGATTACTGTATGAACTTTCCAGAACTTTTAAAGGTCTATTAAAGCTATATCCAAAAAATTATTAGTGATTATTGGTGTTTATGCATTGGAGCATATTTGGTAAATTTAATTACCTCTTAGTCATCTTCTTTGACACTTACATTTATTTAGGTAGTATTTTTAAAAATCTAGAATTATCAATTATCAGTATTAGTTTTCTCCTGGAGTATGGAACTAGTAAATGTTAATTTTTATTCCTTTTCATAGTTAAAGAGCAAAGTTAAGTATATCTAAGTATTTTATTTTATTCTATAGCAATGTAAGTTAGGGTAACCAATATAAAACATAATGCCTTCATTAAACTGGATAGTAGGATCATAAATTTTTTGTGAAATAAACTTTTTGGCATGCTTTACTAAAATGACAGTGCTCCACATAACATTGAGATCTCAAGCTGCCACCAACTATCAATAATCAGTATAATCAATGATCCCAGATGATCATCAATCTAATATTATTTTAATTTTCAAAGTCCTTAGCTTTAATGTCAATTTTCACTTAGCAGTGATGAATGAAAATGTGAATTGATTTTTTACAGTTCTCTGTGCCAAAACAGTGTTCCATGGGGTTTTAGCATCCTCTCTTCTCTCAATTTCTATGAACCAGGGGCTTGGGGAGAAACCAGCTAGATGGTTCTGGCCAGCATCTGTGCTCTGTGTGGAGTCCTGGCATCAGTGGCTAGAGATGGGGCAGCTGGAGGCTAACCAGGCATCTCTCCCTTTGTTTTGTCTCCGAGCCTCTTGGTGGGCTACCTCTGTAAACTCACTTGGGTATCCTCATAGCCTGACAGCTTCAAGGTGGTAGGACCTCCTTGATGGTCACGCAGGGCTCCTCCCAGGCAGGTGTCCAGCAGACCCCCTGGAAGCTGCACTGCATGATGGTACTTCAGAAGCCCCGGGGCATCACCGCCTGGACTAGACACTGCTCTCTGCTCAGAATCAAGGGACACCTGATCTCAGCCGAGAGCGTCTCCAGGCTAATTTGCAGGCATGTTTCAAACCTCCAGAGTATTTTGGTTGACCAAGTGGGCAGATGAAATTATAGTAGGGCCTGAGACTAGCCAGTGTGCTGTCAGCTTCCCAACGCCTTCCCGGCATGTGGCTGGCAACACCGCTCAACTTTTGTAGAGCGCTGCAGTCACCCAGTTTAACCTTCGCACCAATCTGATGAGAGAGTGTTTTCTATTTATTTTTTTAAGGTGGAGAAGCTGAAGCTCATTAACAGTAACTTTCCAAGAGCCACTGGGGTGCCAGAAGTCATGTAGACTTTTCCTGAAACGCCACTAGAGAGGGAGGGATGGGTTGAATTCTGTTTTTCACCCCCTGGCACACAGGCCAGGTACAAACTAAAGTGAGAAACAGCAAAAGAACCAAAATGAAATATAGACTCAAAAAATATATATATATATTTTAAACCTTTGGTAATTGACCCCTAGATGTTGCCTCGTCAGATTTTGAGAATGATCATTAAGCTGGGGCTGCAGTAATACAAGGTGTATCGGGAAAGCACTAAGCTACAAATCTGAAGAATGTATTCCTGTCCTCCCTTTTCTGTTCGGGGTCTTCCCGTGACAGTGCTTAGAGCCAACGTGTGCTGCAGTACTTAAAGCCATCTCCCCTTACCGCTGTCACCTTTTCTAAACCATTAAGCGATCTTGGGAAAAATCATTAAACCTCAATTATCTGATCTGTGAAATGAGTATATTTCACAAGCATAGCTGTGAAAGAGAGTAAGTGTGTGTGTGTGTGTGTGTGTGTGTGTGTGTGTGTTCATACTATTATATAAAATACCTTTGTTTATAGGATGCCGTTAGAGAGACACTAAATCTTGTCAAGCTGGAGATTAAAATAAAATTCTGCTGTCAGATTATGTAAGTTTGAAAATTTATATCTCAGCCTTTATCCCTACCTCTCAAGAGAAGTTTCACCCCAAAGGCCTGAGGTTGGCTTCACATTCAAGGGGATTAAGTTCTTGTTCCCGAAAAAAGGTCCAGGGGCTGAAGTGATACTACAGAAGCTCAGGCGCTTGCCTTGCATAAAGCCAGCCTGGGTTTGACCCCCGAACCCCATATAGTCCTGCAATCCCTGCCAGGAGTGATACCTGAGCACAGAGCCAAGAGTAAGCCCTGAGCATATAGCCCAAAACAAACAGAAAGGTGCAGCTTCAACTAGACAGTTGGAAAGGATAGGCTGATTCTTTCTTGGAAAATCCTTCGGCAATCATTCTGACCTTGCCTGGAGATGCTGGGCAGATTGCTGCTGTGCCCACTCAGGATAGGAGTGTGCTAGTGTCTTTCTTCCTCCTACCAGGCCAGAAACTTCCCCAGACCTCAGAGGGTCACTGGCCAAAGGAGATCTGTGTGGAATTGAGTCTGGATTTCGTTTTGTTCAGTCTGGGGTCCATTCCTGTCTGTCCTGGCTCTGTGTTCAGGGGTCACTTCCGGCCGTGCTCAGCACACCGAACCTGGGTCTGCCACTTGCAAGGCAAGCACCCGACCTCCTGCATTATCTCTCCAGACCTGATTATTTTTTTCACGTGTCCCTTTTGTGGTAAGTCAAATATTTTGTGTAAATAGTAATAATTTAACTCAGCACTGGTTTTCCTAAGGCCCAATTGTTCTACCTGTTCTCTGCCTTTGGCGGGGGTAGGGGTGGGGGTGGGGGATGGCCATCCTTTCACCTGGTCTAGACTATGAGTTTTGAGTTCTCTGTGCTGAACATACTTTTAGGCTTTGGGAAACCTGGCATGTGAGTCTGCCCCCATGAACACAGTGTAGAATCAGATTCTGCTCACATCCGTTCCTGGTGAGGTTCGTGATGAGCATGGTTCTGAGCTCTAGGCCCAGTGTGCCCAGCCAGAGCCCGGGAGCCCAGGTGCCCTTGCTGCTCCATGCCGCTCTGCAGGGCTGGGCCCGGCTCCTCGTCTCACCGCCCTGCCCGGTGGACCTTCCACTCCAGATCTAAACCTGCTCTCTGGCCCTAACAGATTGAGCCAGTGCTTACCGCACTTTCTTGCCAGGGTTATTTTTCTACTGCACCGCACAGAGCTTCTTCCTCACTTCCCAACCCGGCAGTACCGCTTCTGGTGCCGCACCATCCAGAGGCAGTGAATGCCACATGCTGGGCAGACTTGCAGGCACTGGTACAGCCAGCCTCGATCCACGCCCAGGTGTATGAGTGCCCTGGTTTGAGCTGCTTGTCATCCCTGAGGTCACCGGCCCACAGGCCCTGCGTCTCCCTGGCCCTTCTGGGGTTCTTCCCACTGCAGGCACCTGCTGCTAGGATCCTAGTGTTGCCGATAGCAACTAGGGAGGGTTACAACTCCAGCCACACGAGCATGCCCAGAAACTCTCTAAAGACCCAAAAGGAAGTTGGGGGGGAGGGGAGGAGGAGGGGAGGAAATCTAACTGTTCTCTGCCTCCACTGAGAATACATTTAAAGGAAACTGAGAAAGGTACTTTGGAGCTGATGGAAGCCTTTTGCTAGGGTCTTATCCAGCCGTAGTTGATACCCCAAAGCTCTAGTGCCGTTACATAAAACAACTTGGGCAAAGGGAGAAATAGGGGTCATGTTCAGTAGTACCCCCAGGTAAAGTCAATTCTACCTTACTGCAACAAATTAAAGATTATTGCAAGATTGTTGCAGCAAGATGCTTGCATTGATTAATATGCAAGCTTTAGCAGTACGGGAGATAGTACAGGGAACCGAGTTCAATCTCCAGCACTGCATGTGGACCTCTGAACACAGCCAGGGGTCACTGCTGAGCACAGAGCCAGAAATGGCCCCTGAGCACTATCAGCTGTCGCCCAACACCCCCCTCCCCCATCCAATAAAATACAACAAAATGCAAACACTAAAGCTTAATTCTTTTGAAGAGCTAATGAGCTGGGAAGCTCCCGGTGGTGTGGCAGCCCAGGGCTTACACAGCCAGTGGCAACTCCAGCTAAGGAGCTGGAGACAGAAGCTCCCGTTGACTGGTAACCAGGCCGAGTTCATTACCCTGCTGCATCAGGCTGGGATGTGCATCCTCCCAGGCACTGATCAGTCACTCAGATGTGCCATGTATGTTCTGCCACCTGTGTTAAAGAAACATGTGGTCCTTTCGTTACCTCGTCCCGACTGAGAGGGATTTTCCGTTCTCTTCCAGGGCTCTGTGTGACTGTGAGTGAGCACTATTTGTGCTGCCCACGTGGGAGCCCAAAGGAAAGGCCCCGCTTGCCTTTTTTTGTGCAGTGCTGACTCATTTTCCCCAGGTGCTTGTTCTGACGCAGCTGGTTGTGGTCCCTGGGTCTCTCTGGCCAAATGGCAGGAAGGTCCTGTGGGGGTGTCGGGAGCCTTTCGCTGAGCTTTCACCCTGCTGTTCTCTTTTGGTGTGTTGGCAAAAGGAGTCCACTCGCCGTTTGTGTGGGCGTGCCGGCCTCTCAAGTGGAACCAGGTTAGCAAACAGGAGAAAATGAAATGCAGATGATTGGCGCTAAGGGTGTGTTTCATAGAGAAAGACCACTCAGTCGCAGAAAATGCCCAGAATGAGATTATGCAAATACTTCTACTATCACACTTTCAAGTGGTACAGGCATGCTCAGTTTCGATGCCCAGCAAGGAAATTCTGGGTAGCTTTTATTTATTTAATTTTCTTGTTTTAAATAAGCAGAAGTTCACTAAAGCATAAAAGAAATTAGGTCTTCAAAGGGGCCTCATAATCATCTATGTGCTTCAGAGCCCGGCAGAGAGGACGAATAAATTTGCGTTGGCCTCACAGTTTATCATTTATCCAGGCACAGTGAGAGTGGAAATGGTTGACACGCTCTTTAATTTCAGGAAACCTGTGATTTGAGCAAGATAAAGCCTGAAGCCAGACGATACTTGGAAAAGTCCGTTAAAATGGGGAAAAGGAATGGACTCCATCTACCAGAACAAGTACAGAATGTGAGTTCACGTTTCCTTTTCTTATCGGGGTGGAGATTAAAACTACTGAGAATAGGAAACAAAAATGACACGTTTGTGATATGGGAGCCAATCCAGAGTGCAAATCCATTTACAGTGTATTTGGTGGCAAATTATTTTTTTTTTAATTTTTATTAGTGAAACACCATGAGGTACAGTTGTAGACTTACAAATTTTTGTGCTTGGGTTTCAATTATACAGTATTTGAGTACCCATCCCTCCACCAGTGCCCATTTTCCACCACCACTGATCCCAGTATCCCTCCCACCCCTCTTCCCGCCCCCCATCCCACCCTGCCTCTGTGGCAGGGCATTCCCTTTTGTTCTCTCTCCTTTTGGGTGCTTTGGTTTGCAAAAGAGGCATTGAGTGAAAATCATGTTCGGTCTATAGTCTACTTTCAGCATGCATCTCCCATCCTGGGAGGATCCTCCCAATACCCTTTATTTGGTGCTCCCTTCTCTGTCTGAGCTGCCTTTTCCCCTCATGTGTGGCTGGCCTCCAAGCCATGCATGGAGTGAACCTCCTGGTACTTATCTTGGCTATTCTCGGGAGTTAGTCTCCTATTTTGTTACTTTATGTTCCCCAGCGATAGCACAGCGGGTAGGGCGTTCGCCTTACACGCGGCCAACATGGCCGACCCGAGTTCGATTCCTCCGCCCCTCTCGGAGAGCCCGGCAAGCTACCGAGAGTATTCGATATGCCAAACACAGTAACAACAAAGTCTCCAATGGAGACGTTACTGGGCCCGCTCGAGCAAATCGACAATCAACGGGAGGGCCTTTACCTTTTTACCTTTATGTTCCCCAGATGAATGCAATCTTTCTATGTCTGTCCCTCTCTTTCTGACTCATTTCTCTTAGCATGATACTTTCCATGTAGTACCACTTGCATGTAAATTTCATGACTTCATCTTTTCTAACAGCTACATAGTACTCCATTGTGTAGATGTACCAAAGTTTCTTTAACCAGTCATCTGTCCTTGGGCAATCAGGTTTTTTCCAGATTCTGGCTATTGTGAAGAGTGCTGCAATGAACAAACAAGTGCAGATGTCACTTTGACTATACTTCTTTGCCTCTCTGGGATATATTCCCAGGAGTGGTATTGGTGTCAAATTATTTTAAACCCTACAACTTCTGTTGTCCTAGAGCGATAGCACAGCAGGTAGGGCATTTGCCTTGTACGCAGCTGACCCAAGTTTGATTCCTCTGCCCCTCTCAGAGAGCCCGGCAAGCTAGCAAGAGCATCCCACCCACATGGCAGAGCCTGGCAAATTCCCCATAGAGTATTCGATATGCCAAAAACAGTAACTGGAAAACAGTTGACAATATAATTGTTCTCTAATCATGTCCAAATTTTGTTTGTTTCTTCTGTGTTGGGCTCATTGTCCCTGCTTCTTCAATAGCTGAGTTCCAGGTAGAAACAGTCGATTTGGAGTCTCACTCCCTGGGCCATACAGAGAAAAGGCACTGGAAATAAAAGCTATATGAGAATGGAGAGATATAAAAATAGTACATCTTGGGGCTGGAGCAATAGTACAACAGGTAGGCCATTTGCCTTGTATGCAGCCAACCTGGATTCAATCCTCAACATCTCCCATGCACCACCAGGAATAATTCCTGAATGCAGAGCCAGGAGTAATGCCTAAGCATTGTCCAAAAATCTAGATAATAAAAGCAGTGCCTTAATTGTTGAGGTGGGGGTGGGTTTCCTTTTCATGAATTGTACTTTGGAAAATTCCTTTTTCTCTTCAGATTGTATACAAACCTGTTACCGTTCTGTAAAAACCAGCACACTGAAACGGAAAGCCTTATGATTAATATATTTCCCTTTAGCAGTAGAGAGATTAACTTTAGAAGGTGCTTCTCAAACTTTTTCTTCTTTTTTTGATCTCCTGGGTGAAGGGTTCCCGGGGCTGAGGGGCCTCTCCTAGCAATTCTTGACCTAATAGGTCTGAATTTCAGTATGATAATCCATCCGAGGGATGGGAGCTGCTGGGGATTACCCAGACCACCCTGTGGGGCCTTGTGGCCTCAGGTCAACACCTGACAACACTCCAGAGGCCAGGTAGTGGTGGGGATAGAACCCGGGTTAGCCACATTCAAGGCCTGCACCACAACCGCAGCACTATTTCTCTGGCCCCTCATTCATACCTTTTCTTTTGTCTAATGCCAGTCAAATTTCTGGTTGTAAAAGCAAAACTTGATGGCAAAAATCTGTTTTCTTTTGTACAGAAAGTATAGCTCCAAATCTGTTTCCAGGCCATTTGTCTATTCAGTAAAAATGGAAACAAGTTTGGAAGAATCCAAACCAAGTGACATGAGCTCAGTAGATAAATCTGAAGGCATCAATGAGATCAAGGCACCATTAGCCTACCCCATGTCCCCTCTGAGCACCTCAGAGCCTTTTCATCATAGTTCCATCACATGTGGAGCGTCTAGACCTCCCTTTTCTGCCTCTCTGCCTTTCTGTTTAATTAGCACTTCTGTTGGAGACAAAAAAAAAAAAATATATTAGCTAAAGTGCTGTTTGATTGTAGCAGAAAACTTTACTGAATCATTTTAAACTATACAAGGGCCAGAGAGATAGTACAGGGGTGGAGGCACTTGCCTGGCATGCAGCTGACACCAGTTTGATCCCTGGTACCACATGGCTTCCTGAGCACCAGCCATTTGCTCCGGCAGAACAGGGATTAGCTGCTCTCCAGGTACTGCCAGGTGTGGCTGAAACCACAACCCCCCTCTCTACCCCCCTCAAAAAAAAGAAGTAGTCTGAGGTTTATTTGCTTGTATAACTGGAAGTTCTAGAGATAGTTGGGCTACATAGGTTAATTTGATCTAGTGCTCAGTGGAAGTACTGGATAAGTGCTTTTTCTGAGCAATAGCACAGCAGTAGGGCGTTTGCCTTGCACGCAGCCAACATGGCCGACCCGAGTTCGATTCCTCCGCCCCTCTCGGAGAGCCTGGCAAGCTACCGAGAGTATTCGATATGCCAGACACAGTAACAACAAAGTCTCCAATGGAGACGTTACTGGGCCCGCTCGAGCAAATCGATGATCAACGGGAGGGCCTTTACCTTTACCTTTTACTGAGTCATCTTCAATATTCAAAGGCTAACGTCCTTTTATTACCAAAATGACTACAAAGAGAAAAGCCCCCACCATCCAGAAAGCCTTAATCAGCTCTCCTCTCTGGACTGTGTTAGATGGACCTGGGGCCTAATTCTGAGGGCCCCTCCCATTGGGGCAGTGTTGGATAACACTGGGTTATCTTTGCTGCTCCCGCCGGGAGCTTAAGGTTTATTGAGCCACTCCTAAAACAGAGCAACTGAGGCACAACTGTCACTGTTACTGTCACTGTCCTCCCATTGGGCATCGATTTGCTCAAGCAGGCCCAGTAACGTTTCTATTGTGAGACTTGTTGTCACTGTGTTTGGCATATCGAATACGTCATGGGGAGCTTGCCAGGTTTTGCCGTGCGGGCGGGATACTCTCTCGGTAGTTTCCCACACTAATAATCCTATATTGGTTTTCTCTTTCCTTTATGTCATTTGTATGGTTTATTTAGCAATGTCCTTTTTGTGCAGACACAGGAAGGCAATTGATGCTATGCTATGTAACATCCAAAATAATATTTACTCTTGGGCCTCCATATTTACTTACGCCTCAATTGACCTTAGTTTCTAGCACTCCAAAAGCAGGGTCCTGACAAGGGACTAATGGACCCAGGGCAAGCTGTGAGCTACCCTGGTATCGAAATGGGCCGCGCCAAAGCGCCACAATACTTAACTAGAACTTAAGAGCATGGTCATGGACAAATTCTGTCTCAGAGGTCAGGATTATATGCATTACAAGGGGTGTATGTGGTGCAGAGCTAGAACAGAGACTGTCGCGTGCACAGCAGGTGCTTTAGCCCCTGTATAAGCTCTGAGGCCCAACCTGAAGGCTCGATAACACTCGGATGACAGGGCTCTGCCTTTCAGAGCTGGTCTTTCCATCAAGTTGGTGCAGCCTCTAGAAGGTGGGGATCAGGCTCTTGCGTTGTTCCTGCTCAACTCTGGTTCAGTCCCTTGCTGTAATGCGGTGCCTTGAGAGCCTTTGAATGTGCCCCCAGGCTATCAGTGTTGATCCTCCTGGTCAGGCCACACTCCAGAGCCAGTGCTGTTTGCATAAATCTTATCTCGCATTTTTAGAAGAACAAGACAGATAAAGTTATTGCATCTTCTCCTTGCGTTTTCCTTTTTGCTCTTTTAGACCCCATCCCTGTAACATTTTACGCAAATAAATCACCGTTGTTTACAAAAGTTTTAAAAACTAAGACATAACTTTTTTCCCCCAAGGCAGTGATAGGACTGATTGCTTCATCCTTCTCTCTTCATTTCCTCCCCACCAAATACTGATTTGCTAAACTAATATTTTGAACTGGGAAACATTAGAAATATGCTAATTGGTAATTAGCTGTTAGACTTAGTCACGCAGGAGCTCTCTATTGCTGGTATACTTGTATCAGACTCTGCCTTTTTTTTTTTAACCCTCTAGTCCTTGAAATTTACCCTTGTTTCTAACAGGTCACAAGGACTGCCTTCTTGTGACATACAGGTACTCTTGGAAACTGTGAAGACTGCAAGAAACTTCTATCAAGCACACTATGCAAATGTGTTTCCTGGGTTTTGGGTGCCAAACCCAATCCTCATGTGAAACTGAAACTTACTTGACTGGTGGTGCTAGTAGCAAGTTTCATCGTAGCTTTAATGTCCCACCTTTGTCTCTGTTTCAGGAAATCAAAGCAACGAAGAAGAGAATGAGTGAGCTCTGCATTGACTTTAACAAGAACCTCAATGAGGATGAGACCTTCCTTGTCTTTTCCAAGGCTGAACTTGGTAAAATGTTGGGGTTTTGACCAATAGAATTAACGCATTTTAGGCAAACAATACTGCCTCTGGCTGTGCCAAATGAAACTTAAGGGAATTCTTTTTGAAACTCGGTTGGAGGGCCAGGGAGGGGGAGCAGAGAGATAATACAGAGGGTAGGGCATTGTAAGTGATCCCTGAGTACAGAGCCAGGAGTAAGTCCTGAGCGTAGCTAAATGTGGTCCCAAAGCAAACAAACAAACAAAAAAACCAACAAAAATTGATCAAGGCAGAACAGACTTAGTGCAGGGGTTAAGCCTGCCTTGTAAGCAGCTGACCCCAGTTCAATCCATGGCACGAGATCTGATCCCTCAAGCAATACCAGGAGAACACCCAAGCACAGAGCTAGGAGTAAGCCCTAAGCACCTCAGGATGTGGCCCAAACTGCACTCTCCCCCCACCCCTCCAAATTTTTTTGATCCTGGCACTTGTGAGATCTTGGATTTTATCTCTGGCACCACGTGGTGAAAAAAACATTAATGGTCCTCATACTACCATTCCTTTTACAGAAAAAGGCAAGCAAACTAACACCTAAATCTTAAACTTATAAGAATGCATGCTATGGGCAAAGAGATAGTAGGTTAAAATGGTTGCCTTGCACACAACCTACCCAGGTTTGATCCTCAGCACTACGTCTGGTCTCCAGGTACCACCAGGAATGATCCTTGAACCCCAAACCAGGAGTGGGCCCTGAGCACTGTTGTGTGATGCTCCCCAAAAAAAGCTGTTTCTATGGGGCTGGAGCGATAGCACACCGGGTAGGGCGTTTGCCTTGCACGCAGCCAACATGGCCGACCCAGGTTCGATTCCCAGTATCCCATATTGTCCCCCGAGCACCGCCAGGAGCAATTCCTAGGGCATGAGCCAGGAATAACCCCTGAGCATGCCCAAGAAGCAAAAAAAAAAAAAAAAGCTGTTTCTAGAGACTGATTTTGTTGTTGTTGTTCTTATCTTATATTTGGTTTAAGTTAATAGCCTTGAAATTTTTTTTTCACTCCCTACAATATACACGCCTTTTCTGTTCTAAAATCTTCTTGGCTTAATTTTGTCTGTTTTCTGTCAAAACATCATCTACAGGTGCACTGAAATACATTCATATTTTCATATTTTGTACTACCTTTTCCATTGCCACCTGGCCTCTAACTACTACTCCCATTCCAATAATACCAGGTTTATATGGATTGCCACTATTTTTCTTGAATTCCATTTGTTCCACATGATTCCTTGAGTTTCTTAAAGGCTCTATGCCAACGCTAAATAAACCAATAATGAGTGGAAAAATTGATGTATGAGAAAATGATCTTTTTGCAGGTGCTCTTCCTGATGACTTCATTGACACTTTAGAAAAGACAGGTGATGACAAGTATAAAGTCACCTTAAAATACCCACACTACTTTCCTGTCATGAAGAAATGTTGTATCCCTGAAACCAGAAGGAAGATGGAAATGGCTTTTCATACAAGGTGTAAAGAGGTACTAGATACTGTTTGTCTTTCTTTGGTTTCTATGGAAGATTTTCTGAAAGGCTTTGTATAGCAGTGTTGAAGTCAGCCCAGAAGGTTTTGTTTTGTTTAGTTTTGTTTTGTTTTTGCAGGGTTGCGGGGGATGCTTTTTTTGTTTTCTGATTTGTCTATTTGTGGTGCCTGAGATCAAACCCAGGGCCTCATGCAAGAGGTATGTGCTTTACCAGGAAGCCACTGCTCCAGTGCCTGAACTCTTTTTATATAAGCACTATATGTATCCTGGTTCTTCAGACCGTCAAGACTTTCTTTTCTTTTCTTTCTTTTTTTCTCTCTTTTTTCTCTCCCCCTTTTTGTGGTGATAGCCCCAGGCTAAACTATTGTGAAAAAGATAGAATGGACTAAATGAACTTGATGCTTTCTTCGCCTCCCAAGCTACCAATCCAGGGCTGATAAGACACCTCTCTCTCCTCAGCATGTGACATCAAGGTTCATTCCAGTCTCACCATCTCCCTGTCTGTTAAAAGAGGAGGCAAAGAAAAGTATAGAGTAAGAATCTTCAAAAAGTAAAAGACCTGGAGATTGTCCATATCAACTCTACCCGCTTCCCGTGGACCAGAATTCCATTGTGCATTTGTTATCTGGCTCCAAAAGGCTGTGAAGTACAGTTGACAGCTGCTGGCTTCAGCTGACAGCAGATTTGCACTGCTGAGTGAACTACACTGCTGTAAAAAAGAATCCACAGTGGACTCACTGAGTTGCTTCGCACGCTCCCGACAATGTGCGGCTCCGATTGTGCAGATAACCATGGACACTGCTTTTCACAGATGCACTCCAGCCATCATCAGTCAGATCCTAACCAGTTAATGTCTCAAGCCCAAAGACATGCATCACCAGACCATATGTAGTCCTTACCACCGACAGCATCTCACAATTTCATACTTGAGGAGGAAAATAAAAAAGGACACATTTTACCTGCCCTTATGCCCCCCAACACACGTATTCAGTGGTCAAAGAGACACAAAACCACCACACTAAAAAGTCTCACTTGAAACGGAAAGAATAGGAAGCACAGAATGGGAAGAATGAATGGGAAGCCCTAGCCCAATTTTCCTAAGCTATCGTGCTGAAATCCTGGCAATTCCCTCCTTTGGAGAAGCTCCATGGAGGGTACATTAGGGTTGTCTGGGCCCCCTCCCTGGCGGGGACTTCCTTTAGCAGTTGTACATCAGGGCCCCGGTTTGGCTGAAGAAAATATTCGTTACTCTCCACAGCTACATCTGCAGCTGCTGCTGGTGTAGATTCCTACTAATGCCAGTCTGAAATCTGAGGACTGCTTTCGGGATTAGATATCACAAGCTTCGGTGGAACGGGTTTTCCAAGTGTTTAGGAATAAAAGTCCTCCAGAACCTTAGCAAGTTTCTTGTCTGCTTGTGTTCAGTCAGACAAAGGTTAAAGTAACTACACCCAACTCCCATTTTAGATCCAGTCTACCGAGTCTTTTGGTATCCTGGCTTCTCCTCTTATGTAATGGACTCTGCAACAGACCTTCCAAGGCCTTGAGGAGGAAGATAGCATTTTCAGACCTGTCTGTGCAACTCCATAGTGCGAGTGATATGTCTTTTCTTCTGACACTCAGAGTGCCACATCGCTTATGTTTTCAACCTCCCAAAGCTCCGACTGTGGGCCGTAGGTAGAAACTTGTAGCAAGACATTTCTTCCATCTTTGTAGACCATTGAGTCCATGCCTGAAATCTTTTCTCTCATATAATCTTTCTGAAAGCCACAAATCCCAACAAACAGGCACCAACACTAATTGTCCTGCACAGTTGTCCTAGAGCTCAGATGTCGTCCATCATTGGCCAACCTTCCCGGTGGCATGCAACCCTTGTGGCCATTGTTGTCCAGAGTAGAGTGAAGGTGACCGGCTTCCCAGCCCACGGTGTCTGTCCTCCTTCTCCACTCCTGTATATTTTGCATTTTTGTTTTAGCAGCACCTTGATCCCGTGTCAGTCTCTTTAGGTATTAGAACACAGATCAAGTAGCTTTATAAAAGTCAGCCAAAAGGCACAGTGACTCGAAGAAGAGAGAAGTTCATTTTCATCTTGAAGAATTCACAGTGACCTGGGGAGACTGGGGAATAATTTTGTTGTGATTGTTGTTGATAGTGATGGGGTAGGGGTGGGGGGGGGGCGGGACGCATGCAGCTTCAGAGAGGGACCCAGGACCTCACACAGGCAAGGCCTGTGCTCTCCCACTTGAGCCACTCTCCAGCCCTGGGGAATTGCTGCCTCGTGATTATTACCAAGTTTCTTTGGGTGGGGGGGGTGTTGGAAAAGTTTCAGAAACCAGTGGTGATAATTTAGACAACATTATGAATACAATTAGTATACTTTAACCTGGTTAAAATGACTTATTTTATATTCTGTATGTTTCACCACAAGAAAATTAGGTTTTTCTTTTGTGGAGAGGGGCTTCCAAGTGGGTAATACGGGGTCCCAGCATCACTCCTGGCGATACTCTACCAACTGGACCCATGGTTCAATGCCAGGGCCTGGTGTGGTGCTGCTTGGGCCCTGCCATGCCGGGCATAACCCAGGCCATTCTGATAGTGCTCAGGCACATCCAGGGCCGCATCCGTGATGATCAGGAGATCACACAGTAGGTTCCAAGGATTGAACCATGGTCAGCCACAGACAAAGAAGGCACCCTGACTATATACTATCTCTCCGGTCCTCCGTAGAGCTTTTCATTCTAATTGTATAGTAATTACAGTTTTATTAAAACGTCACAGCTCTCAAAACCTCAGGTTGAAGAATTTCGTTATTTCAGGAGCCAGGGGTATAGCACAGAGGGGAGCACTTTGCCTCGCATACTCAGCCTCAAGTTCAGTTCCCGGCGTCATCTGGTCCCCAACCACTCCTGGAGGTAGACCTGGTGGCTCCCACATACTAGTCGAGCCAAGCAGCAATGCAGTCGCTGCACTTTGCCTGGAGCCATTGGACCCACCTTGCACCCCGAGGCTGAGTGGCACCAGGAGTTTCCCCTCAACTCTGTAATAGTGAAATGAAATGATGTAGTAGAGAAATTGGAATGACCTAAAAACACCTGAGAGTTTTACCAGCCCAAACATGCATGTAGTAACTCTTCCTTTTAATGTTTTGGATCCCACTGGATGTTAACCTTCGTTGTTGTTGTGACTGTCGTTATAGGAAAACACCGCGATTCTGCAGCAGCTGCTCCCGCTGCGGGCCAAAGTGGCCAGACTCCTCGGCTACAGCACACATGCTGACTTTGTCCTCGAAATGAACACAGCGAAGAGTACGAGCCACGTAGCCGCCTTTCTAGGTTCGCTCCTTCGTGCGGAATCAGTTGTGTATTCCCCTTCCTTGGCCTCGATGACTGTCTTTGAGGCATGGTACAATTTGACACAGGATCTCAGAGTCTACCTGATGTGCCTTTATGGCGTCCTATTTCTCACTAAAGAGACATTACCCATCACCTACTGCGCGTTAGGTGCTAGGTTTAACTCTACAGCTGGGGTGAAGAATGGCCAAGGGCCATTTGGGAATTCATAACATCAGTTTCAGACCACATGATATAGGCAGAAAGGCCCCAGGCAGCCTCCAAGAAGTACACATGCCAGCCCTATCATGGCCCAGGGCCAAGGGTACAGCACATGTTTTCGCAGGCTGTGCATAGCCTGTGGGCCAGACATTCCTGACCCCACACTCCCCACCCTAGCTCCAAGGTATAGTCATCATGTCAGTCAGTCACTGTCCTCCCATTGTTCATCAATTTGCTCGAGCGGGGCCATGTTGGCTGCGTGCAAGGCAAACGCCCTACCGCTGTGCTATCGCTCCAGTCATCATCTATGTTACTGTTACGGTCTTTATTTCATTTTATCTTGTATCTTGACTGGGCTTTCTTTGGTTTAAATTTTGAGTCAGTATGATTTGCAATGTTGTCACGACGGGCAACATTCTAACACCACACACACCCCCGCACCATTGTCTTCTCCACCTGTCTTTTTCCCCCACAGCTCCATTCTCTAGATCACTTTCAGGTTCTTTGTCTTTGGCCATTTGTTTCCCCTGTGTTTCTTGACTGCATGCAGGAGAGAGATCGTTCTGTATCTGTCCCTCTCCGTCTGACTTGCCTTCACTCAGCATAATGCTGATTAAGTTTTATATTTCCTAACAAGACACTTAGGGTTCCAACAGAGAGTGTTCACTACCCCAAGGTGCTTGACAGTTATGGCATGGCTAGGTATGAGTGTGTGTGTGTGTGTGTGTGTGTGTGTGTGTGTGTAGAGAAATAGAGATACTGAGAAAGATACTAAGTAAACTGAGAAATATGACTTCAATTAAAATAAAACATAAAAAAATAAACATCATAAACATCAATTGGTGGTAGGAAAAGTACACTGGAGAAGGGATGGGTGTTGGAACATTCACTGTCATGTCACTGTCCTCCTGTTGTTCATTGATTTGCTCGAGCGGGCCCAGTAACGTCTCCATTGGAGACTTTGTTGTTACTGTGTCTGGCATATCGAATACGTCACGGGGAGCTTGCCAGGCTCTGCCGTGCAGGCGAGATACTCTCGGTAGCTTGCCAGGCTCTCTGAGAGGGGCGGAGGAGTCGAACTCAGGTCAGCCATGTTGGCTGCGCGCAAGGCAAACGCCCTACCGCTGTGCTATCGCTCCAGCCCGTTGGAACATTATATGACTGAAATCGAATCATGAACAACTTTATAACTGTTTATCACTGTGATTCAATTAAGAAGTTTAAAATGATATAGCAACTAATAATCACACATACAAAAATAAACAGCTTATATTGTAGAAGCTACTTGTTAATATGTAAGACAATATGCACCAAAACTGCTCTCGAAAAACAGGTCCCAGAGCAATACTACAGCGGTGGAAGATTTGTCTTGCACACGGCTGACCCAGGCTCGATCCCCAGCATCCCAGATGGTTCCCCCCAGCATCATCAGAAGTTACTTCTGCGCGTAAGGACTTACCCTTGAGCCTTGCAGAGTGTGGTCCAAAAACCAAATAAAGTTTTAAAACATAAATAAGAGCTATATTTTCATTTAAAATCGCTTTTTGAGGTATGGCTTTTGTGTCTGTGACCTTGACTCACTAATATTCTGTCCTCTTTCCCATTCCCATCCTCACCTGGCTGTGACTATTCCTCCACACACTCCATTTTTCTCTTTCATCTTACTGAAAAAATTTAAATAGCAGCAATGGTGTGATATTAATTCTTGTTATAATCTTCTTCAATCAATTTACCAAAGTCTGGTTTTACAATATGTATTTCTGTACTTTTAATTAAGACACCATGATTTACAAAATTGTTGGGAGTAGAATTGTTTCAGACATACAGTGTCACAACACCATTCCCACCACCAGTATTCCCAGGGTCCCTGCCATCCTCCTCCTGCCCCCTTGCCCCCTTGGCAGGCATATAACAAATTTATTTCATATTGCTTGGTCCAGAAACCTTAAAAGAGTGCCAAATAGAATTATTAAAAATAAATCAACGAGTCAATCTGTGATGGTTAATTACTGTATGTTGTTGCCTTTCTTAATGTAGGAGAGGACAACCATGTACACCATTAGTGAGTGCCATATTTAGTACCACATGATGGGAAGTCTCTCCTGTCCTTTAAAAGAGTTCTTTTAGTGCTTCTTGCAAAACTGGTTTCAAGGCTATGAGTTACCTGAGCTGTTTCCTATCATGAAAATCTTTCAAATCTGTAGTTCCTTCAAATCTGAGAGATTATCTAGCTGGATAGAGTTGTTGGAGGGGGTCCAGTTGGTTAAGTTTTTGTACCATATCCTTCCACATTCTTCTCATTTGAGACTGTACATCCTATGGGCTTTCCTTTGTATGTAACTACCTTTTTTGATTTTGCTGATTTTAGTATTTTCTCTTTAGATTTTTTTTCACTTTGAAAAATATGTCTTGGAGTTTTCCTACTTGAATCTATTTTCACTGGGGCCCTTTGGGGCTCTTGGATCTTCGTGCCTGTAATTCTCAACTCTGGGAAGTTATTGTCAATGATTCCTTTAACTAGTGTTTTTTATATTTGCCTTCCTCTTCTTCAGGGACCCCGTGATTCTTTTTTGTTCCTCTTGAATCAGCCCAGAGTTCTCTGGTGTGCTGTTCGTTTCTTTTCAGACCATTTTCTACTTTCTGCTGTTTCCTAGTGGTTTTCTGATTCTCATCTTGGAACTTCTCAGCATTTTGCTCAGCTTCTGTTATTCTGCTGTTCTGAGCTTCTATTGGCTTTTTAATGTCACCTACCATGTTCTTTATTTCCATCATTCCTTACTGAAAGAGCCTTTCATTTTGAGTCTCATACGTTCTTGTGCTTCATTGATTACCTGTGTTTCTTTTAACTCATTGAATATCATTGAACATCCTCATCATAGTGTCATTAAAGACAGTGGCTGAGGATTTACTGGTATTGTTTATGTCTTCGGTGATGTTTTCGCTGATTGAGCTCGGCAGGTTTCTATGTTTTTCCCCCCATTCGTTTTCTCGTATTTTTCTTGGGGGAGGTCACACCCAGTGATGTAAAAGGGTCACTCCTGGCTTTGCACTCAGGATTTACTCCTAGCGGTGCTTGGGGACCATATGAGATGCTGGGAATTGAACTGGGGTCGGCCGCATGCAAGGCAAACACCCTACCCGCTGTGCTTTCCCCCCAGCCCCTCTAGTATTCTTCTTGTGCTGGGGGTGAGGGTCCCCTAGGAAGGTAGTGAAGAATTAGCTAGAGGTTGTTCTTTCTCTTCTCTCCCTGTCCTCACAGAATGACTGGAGAAAAAACTGTAAGCAGCATGCAATTTGTTGACCAGATCTATCATACTGCCACGCAAAATGTGATTTTTAAAAAAACTTTCCTCATTCACCCCTTTTAGAATTATTTCACCTTTAACTTTTATTCAGTCTCTTATTTCGACGTCCTTTTAGTGAGTTTACATTGCAAGCCGACTTATAATGTGTTGAAAACCAGCCTTTAACCGAGAGTTTATCGCATTACGTCTTCAAAATTTGTGCCTCGTATTACCAATGTATACCCTGGTATCAGATATAACATGTTGCTATTACTGTTAATAATAGTTATTTATGATCATGTAATTCATTCATCATGGAACATTTATGAAATAACTACCTTGTATTAGGTAGTGTGTTAGACAGAGAGGTATCAGACTGGTCCTTCCTCAATGAATTTTCCACTGAGTGGAAACAACAAAGATGTGAACAGGTAATTGCCCTGTATTCAGTGGCATGTTTTACAAGATAATGGCTCGGGGAATTAACTGGTTTGGTGAGACTGTTTCTTTTAGTGGCGACTACATATACTGAAACGTTTCCTTAATAACTACCTGATTAACTGAATTCCTTTAAAGTAGTTCTCCCTCTAATTTAAAATGAATTTGTTCCCATCTGAGTTGTCTTCTCGATGCCTGTATTCCCAGATTCTCTCACAGACCCAATCAGAAGGGCCTCCCTTTTTTTCTTACTCGAGTTTCCTCCTTTCTCTGCGCCACACTCTGAGGCTGCCACTTTCACCTGTGCCCGCTCCAGAGTTGCTTCCCAAACTGTCTTATCCCACAGAGGTAAACACGTGTTTATCTGACATCCAAAACTCATGATAACAGATACTTAAATGGGGCTGGGGAAATCACACAGAGGATGAGGCACTGCCTTACATGAGGCTAACCTGGGTTCGATCCCCATCCCCACAGTGTGCAGTGTGGTCCATAAGCGCAGAGCCAGGATTAAATCCTGGGTATGGAAAGAAGAAAGGGAGGGAGGGAGGGAGGGAGGGAGGAAGGAAGGAAGGAAGGAAGGAAGGAAGGAAGGAAGGAAGGAAGGAAGGAAGGAAGGAAGGAAATGCATTTAGCAAAGTACAGTGAAATGTCATCAGCTGAGTACAGTAGAAATTGCCGTATCCCACTGAAACATGAGACTGCTTGTGTCCAATAAACTCTTCACAGGTATGAAGCAATGATAAGCTAAACCCAGTATCACCACAGCACTGAGAGACTTTTAGTAATACTGACCATAGGTCATCTCTGATTTATTTTCCCTGTTTTTCTGATAAACCAAATTTCACGGAAGAATAATTTTGTTTTGTCTTAGTATTGCTTTTTCTCTCAGAATCATAATATCCTCGAGTCAGAATTCTGTGAAATAAACTTAGTTTTATCAGTGCTCTGAGAAAGTTGTGACCTGATTTTGGATATTGCCCCAAACACGGGTGCGTGTGTGTCTGTGTGTGTGTGTGTCTGTGTATGTGTGTGTGTGTGTAGCCATAAATCACCCGGAGAGACTAGCAGTCCTGTTTTTAAAAAAAGCCTGCTTTCCTCCAGCCTCCTTTGTTTCCTCTTCCCTTTTCTAGTGCCTTCCTTCTCTTTACCCCCCTCTCCCTTCCTTCTTCCTCTCCTGATTTAGCTGTATCAGATACAACAAAGAAGAAAGCTCTTTTACTCAAAAACTGCTGGTAAAGATGAATGTGATTTGTGCCTAAGAACCATCAATCACTGACTCTCCCTGCTTTTCTCACAGATGATTTAAGCCAGAAATTAAAGCCCTTGGGTGAGGCCGAACGTGAGTTTATTCTGAATTTGAAGAAAAAAGAATGCAAAGAGAGAGGTTTCGAATATGATGGGAACATCAATGCGTGGGATCTCCATTATTACATGACTCTCACAGAAGAACTCAAGTACTCTGTTGACCAGGAGGTCCTCAAGGAGTACTTCCCAATCGAAGTGGTCACTGAAGGCTTGCTGGACATCTACCAAGAGCTGTTGGGACTTTCATTCGAGCAAGTGACCGATGCACATGTGTGGAATAAAAGTGTAACACTTTACACTGTCAAGGATAAAGCTACAGGAGAAGTATTGGGACAGTTCTACTTGGACCTTTATCCAAGGTAATAAGGATCACGTTGTTGGAAGCAGATTTAGGGACTCAACTCATATCCAAACTAACACTCCGTAGTTCTCATGTGTGGTTATTAGTCAAGGATTAAAGAAGTGGGCTCTGAAGCCAGAATGTCTGGCTCCACTTACTGGGAAACTTACTTTATTTTTCTGTGCTTCTGTTTCCTTACCTATATGACAGGGCTTATAAAATGAAAATACTAATCAGACCTGCTTTGTAGGGTTGTTATAGGGATTAAAATGGTTAATTATATGCAAAGCATTAATTAGAAGACTACACAGCATAGAGCAAAGTGCTGAATAAATGTTAGCTTCTATTATCATCATCATCTAATGTGTGTACTGTACTTAATTTAAGTTGACCCCCAAGATAACTGGGCCTGGAAAGATAGTATGGAGGTCACTGTCATGTCCTCCCATTGTTCATCGATTTTCTCGAGCGGGCCCAGTAACGGCTCCATCGTGAGACTCGTTGTTACTGTGTTTGGCACATTGAATACGTCATGGGGAGCTTGCCAGGCTTTGCCATTGAGGCAAGATATTCTCGGTAGCTTGCTGGGCTCTCTGAGAGGGGCGGAAGAATCGAACTCGGGTGGGCCATGTTGGCCGCTTGCAAGGCAAACGCCTTACCCACTGTGCTATTGCTCCAGCCCAGTATGGAGGTAAGGCACTTTATATACCCAGCATCCCATATGGTCCCCCAAACCCACAAAGAGCAATCCCTGAGTGTAAAGGCAGTAGTAAGCCTTGGGTACCACTAGGTGTGACCCACAGTAATAATAATAATAATAATAAAGGCCCTCCCGTTGATCGTCGATTTGCTCGAGCGGGCCCAGTAACGTCTCCATTGGAGACTTTGTTGTTACTGTGTCTGGCATATCCAATACTCTCGGTAGCTTGCCGGCTCTCCGAGAGGGGCGGAGGAATCGAACTCGGGTCGGCCATGTTGGCCGCGTGTAAGGCGAACGCCCTACCCGCTGTGCTATCGCTCCAGCCCTAAAGGCCCTCCCGTTGATCATCGATTTGCTCGAGCGGGCCCAGTAACGTCTCCATTGGAGACTTTGTTGTTCCGTGTTTGGCATACTGAATACGTCATGGGGAGCTTGCCAGGCTCTGCCGTGCGGGCGAGATACTCTCGGTAGCTTGCCGGGCTCTCCGAGAGGGGCGGAGGAATCGAACTCGGGTCGGCCATGTTGGCTGCGCGCAAGGCAAACGCCCTACCGCTGTGCTATCGCTCCATAGACGAGGTGGCCGAGTGGTTAAGGCGATGGACTGCTAATCCATTGTGCTATGCACGCGTGGGTTCGAATCCCATCCTCGTCGGTTTCTAGCCACTCTGTGTTGTGACCCACAGTAAAGTAAAGTAAAGGCCTCCCGTTGATCGTCGATTTGCTAGAGCGGGCCCAGTAACGTCTCCATTGGAGACTTTGTTGTTACTGTGTCTGGCATATCGAATACGTCACGGGGAGCTTGCCAGGCTCTGCCGTGCGGGCGAGATACTCTCGGTAGCTTGCCGGGCTCTCCGAGAGGGGCGGAGGAATCGAACTCGGGTCGGCCATGTTGGCTGCGTGCAAGGCAAACGCCCTACCCGCTGTGCTATCACTCCAGCCCATAAACACAAAACCAAAAAAAGTTTATAATCTTGCATTTTACAGGTAGATCTGTGAATCTGTGATCTATATTTTGTATAAAATTTTGTTAAATCTGGCTAAATTAAAAGTACCTAAAATTAAATTTCAGTTAAATTTTGTGAAAGGCAAAAGGGCTGTTTACCATTTTTTTTACATGCAACTGTCCAGTTGTCATTTGTAATATCATTTATTGAAGAAAACAAAATTGTCCCTTTGTATTGCCTATACTCCTCTATTAAAAAAAGAGCAGTTGACTAATATGGGTCTATTTTTAGACTCTCTATTGTACTTCAGAATCTTGTCTTTTGCTAATACCACACTGTCTTAATTACTGGAGCTTTTCAGTAAATCTTCATGCCAGGTAGTAACTCTCCTCTGTCTTTGTTATACTTACCTATTCTGCATCTTTTGGTTTTTCATATAAACTTTAGAATCAGCTTGTCAATATCTATAAAATATTTTGCTGGAATATTGATTAGAATTGCACTGAACCTGTAGGTGAAGTCCAGAATAGTGATTGAGTTTTCTGAATGTGGGCTTTATTTCTGCTTATTGAATTCTGTCTTCATTTATTTAGCTGTTTGATTTTTTTAATTTGTTTTGTTTGGGGGGGTGCTCCCCAGTAGTGCTCAGGGCTTACTCCTGACTGCTTAGGGATCATTTTGGGTAGTGCTCAGGAGACAATATGCAATATACCTGGGACAGAACCCAGGTTGGCCACATGCAAAGCAAGTACCTTAACCTCTGTGTCATCACTTGTTATTTAGTTCTTTGATTTTATTGTTCAGGGTCTTATATGTTTCCTCACATAGATCTTGTACATATTTTGTTATTTTACAGCCAAGTATTTCATTTTAATTTTTTAAAAGCTTTTTTAAATTAAACTTTTTACTTATTTATTGTTTTATCGGCCAGGCCGACCCAGGTTTGATTCTTCTGTCCCTCTTGGAGAGCCCGGCAAGCTACCAAGAGTATCTCGCCTGCACGGCAAAGCCTGGCAAGCTACCCATGAGGTATTCGATATGCCAAACACAGTGACAAGTCTCACAATCGAGCTGTTACTGGGCCCGCTCAGGCATATCGATGAACAACGGGAGAACAGTGACAGTGATATTGTTTTATATAGGGATATGATTGACTTTTGTAAGTTAGTTTTATATTCTGCAATCCTCCCATAACCACATATTAGTTGCAGGAGGGCGTTTTGTTGATTCTTTTAGATTTTCTACGTAGACAATCATGTCGCCTGCAAACAAAACAGTTTTACTGAATTCTTTTCAATTCTTTTATTTATTCTTATTTGTATTACTGCGTTAGCTACAACTCCCAGTAGGATTTGAACAAGGAATGCTGAGAGAACCGATCTGGCTTTGTTCCTGCGCTTTCATTTTCATTCATTCAAATGGAATCTGTTCCTCCTCTCCCAGCAACGGACCACTGTTTGTTCCCGGATGCTGATTAGCCTGGTTAGGAGAGCGAATTCTCTATTGTTCTGACCAAGCATCAGTCTTGGCCTTCACGTCCCTGGGTCCTCACAAAAGGGCCCTCGGGTGACCCTGCCCTCCTGAAAGGGCCCTGGGGTGGCCTTGCCCTCCCCTCCACTGCCCTGTTGCCCGGCTGGACTCTGGGGCTTTCCTGCCCTTCTATCAGAGTCTAGAGGGTCTTCTCTGTGCCTAATCCCCTGCAGCAGTAAGTTTTTACTGGTGCTATTTGGATTTCTTGCTCTTTCCCCAAGAAGTTTAAGGCTGTTGTGTAAGAGAGCGCTCAGATGGATCTTGGCAGGGGTGTGTGCTTTAGCAAGCCATGGGGGAGCGTGTGTGTCCACCATTGCCATGTTGTACTCCATTGTGTAAAGTGTGTGTGTGTGTGTATGTGTGTGTAAAATTCCCCTTATCCTCCAGTTGTCAAGGGTTTCTTATTTTAGCAGATCAACCATCAACCTTTAGCAATTCAGAAATTTTCTCTTCAGTGATAACCAAAAAAGTGCTTGTTCTCCCTCCTTGGAAACGCCTGTCTCAAGTTATAGGTCAGTCTATTGCCTTTCCACCTTCCGTTCTTATGCAGTCAGGAAAAGTTGTGATTTGCAGATTTTTTTGCATGTTCTTATTATAAGGACAAGAGCAATGCTTTCATGCATCTTTAATAAAAGTTAGAAAAAGAGCAGTTGAATTTGAGGGGATTTTTTGTTTTGATTTTTTTATAATAATGGAGCCAGAGCGATAGTACAGCAGGTAAGGCATTTGCCTTGCACATGGCTGGCCCAGGTTCACTCCCTGACTTCCCACATGGTCCCTCCAGCACTTCCAGGAGTGATTCCTGAGTGCAGAACCAGGAGTAACCCATGAACATTTCCAAGTGTGACCCAAAAAGCAAAAAGCCATCCCCCCTCCCAATAAAAAGCCAAATAAATAGTATCAGTGGGAAGGACAGCATAAGGGAAGCAAAAGCAGAATATGGGCCAGGGAAATGCTCGTAGCTCAAGGGATGGGGCCATGCTAGATGCAGGCCAAGTTTGACCCATGGCATCATTGAAAAAGGAACAACAACAACAAAAAGAATGATAAAACCACTATAAAAGGTTATATATCTATATCTGCCTACATATATATATTCATACACACATATACCAAAATATTTAAATCTACAAAAATATAATAATTTAAAAAAAGAAGAGAACTTATTTTAGGGGTCACAGCTGGCAGTGCTCAGGGACTGCTCCTGTTTCAGTACTGGAGTGTGTGGGCATGATGCCCAGCGGTGGTCAGGGCACCGCTTGGGCCAGGGTCAAACCTGGGCCTCCTGCCTGCAGAGCTCAAACCCATGAATTATCTCTCTGGCCAGAAGGAAATGTATTTGAGAATAAAGTCTAATGACCAATAGCTTTGGGAAACACCATTCCTGATGCTACACTGATCTTAGAATTAGACAACTTCTTAGTTGGAAAAGCATCATTTATGCTTTCCCCTGGACTATCTAAAAATGATCTGTTTCCTAATTTATGCCCGGAACTCATTTAATTGTGCAGACTATAAAAATTCTAAACTAAAATCGGAAAGAATAGCCTTCTTATTTGATGCTTAGTATTTATCAAATCTTATTTTAAGGATAACCTACCTGGGGCTGGGACAATGGTACAGTGGGTAGGGGTTTTGCCTTGCATACAGTGGACCCAGCTTTGATCCCTGGCATCCCATATGGCCCCCTAAGCACCACCAGGAGTAATTTCTAAGTGCAGAGCCAGAAGTAACCTTTGAGCATCTCCAGGTATGATCCAAAAAGCCAAAAATAAATCAATAAATAAGAAGGATGACCTATAGAATCAAGCTGTGTATCTTCTACCTCAAATTTGCTTCCACGCCTGTTGCCTTTACATTCAATTGAATATTTAGCAATATTCTAAGTGTGGAAAACATTCTTAACCCTTAGATGAAAGCATTTTATTTTTCTTTTCTTCCCTTCTTTTGTTTTTGGGTCACACCCAGCAGTATTCAAGGCTTATTCCTGGTTCTGCTCAGGGATCACTCCTTGTAGGGTTTGGGACCATATAGGTTGCCGGGAATCGAGCCTGGGTCAGCTACATGCAAAACAAGTACCTTACCCCCTGTACTGTCTCTTTCTGGCCCAAAAGGAAGTTCAACAGAAGGAACCTTGGAGCCAGAATTCCTGAGAGTTAGTGAGTGATTGGTTTAGCTTCAGTTTCTCTACCTTACCAAAGGGTCAGCCATTTTCTAAAGGATGAATTACCCACCTCAAAGTGTCCTCCAGAATTATCCAACATGGCTTGGGGTCCGAGAGACATCACCGCTCCACCCTCAAGAGCTGCTCGAGCAGCTGGCAGGCCTCACCAACCCTGCTCTTGCTTCCCAGGGAAGGAAAATACAACCACGCCGCCTGTTTCGGTCTCCAGCCCGGCTGCCTGCTTCCGGACGGGAGCCGGATGATGTCTGTGGCCGCCCTGGTGGTCAACTTCTCCCAGCCCCTCACACACCGGCCCTCCCTGCTGCGGCACGATGAAGTGAGGACATACTTCCACGAATTTGGCCATGTCATGCATCAGATCTGTGCGCAGGTGAGTGCCTCCTGATGGTAAGCCTGCCCGTTGCTTCTCCAGACTTTCCGCCCATGTTTCCGCTGTCATGTTTCTGCCTGTAGCATATTTGGGGGAGTGGGAGGAGTCCAGGGGGGTTTGAGCCACAGCTGGAGGTACTCAGGCCTTGATTGTGCTCAGGGATCACTCCTGTGCTTGGTGTCCCGTATCTGGTGTTGGGACTCGTCCAGGGTCAGCCACATGCAAGGCAGACACCTGAACCCCTGTAGTATCTCTCTGGCCCACCTTAACTATTTTTTAGAGAGCTGCACATGTTCAAGAATGTCATAGCCCTTCTGCCAAAACAGCATTTTGATGGCCTCATCCTCTTTCACAGCATATTTTTGCTTAGAAGACAATCCAGGGAGGAAAGGGCTTCATTGCGCACTGCCCTATGGCCAAAGAAAGCAAGCTGTCATTAAGGAACAGCTACCAATCCTGTTCTGTCCCGGAAATAATTTCCTTCTCCATAACAATTCGGTGTAAGCATCACAGATGATATGTTAAAATCTGCCTTTTCTGCTCATAAATATTTTGTTTGGTTCAGTGATTTTCAAGCATCTCTTTACTACCTTTTTCACTACTCCCATTTTTTGTTTTGTTTTTGTCTGATTTTGTTTGTTTTGTTGGGCCGCCAGCAATGCTCAGTGGTCACTCCAGGTTCTGCACTCAGAGTTATACCTGACGATGCTCAGGGGACCACATGGGTGCTGGGGATCAAATTCAGATGGGCTGCATACTAGCAAGCACCCTTCCTGCTGTGTCATCTCTCTGGTTTTATTTACTCCTTTTTAATAATAAGTGCTTTATAATACCTTTACTATCTTCAAATTAAGTGAAGTAAGTAAAGGCCCTCCCGTTGATCATCGATTTGCTCGAGCGGGCCCAGTAACGTCTCCATTGGAGACTTTGTTGTTACTGTGTCTGGCATATTGAATACTCTCGGTAGCTTGCCGGGACTCCGAATCTTCAAATTAAGATCATAGATAATATGTTTGTAGATGTGAAGTTCTCTGTATGGAGAGCTTGACAGGGAAATGTTTATAATGTTTGCAGCTGACACTTCTCTTTAATTGTGAAAAAGCACACTTTTTTTTCTGTTTCTTTTCAACCAAAGTTCTCACTCCTTTAGCTCTGGTGCTTGCACACACGGCTGACAGAGTTGACTCTTTGCTGAGGCACGCACATGACGCTCACCGGGCTTCTCACCACAGTGCTCATACACATGGCCACCGGGTGTCATGTGTATAGACCACATCACTTGCACTTTTTGGGGGGGGGGGGGGTCATACCCGGAGATGCACAGGGGTTACTCTCCTGGCTCTGCACTCAGGAATCACTCCTGGCAGTGCCTGGGGGGACCCTATGGGATGCTGGGAATCCAACCTGGGTGGGCTGTGTGCAAGGCAAACGCCCTACCAGCACCGACTTGCATTTCTTTTTCGTTGCATTTCTCTCTGGGTGGTATCCCCCTTGGGGTGCTTGAACGTACCTGGTTGTCACACAGCCCAAATCTCTGGCAGAAACAAGGATTGCACGTAGCTGACGTGCCAGGATTGTGCCTGGCACACGTGGACCCAGGGATTGGACTCCGGGTTGTGTACTGACAGAGCAGAGACTTAGAAGCCTCCGAACTGTTTTTCTTCTGGGCCTGCTTCCAGCTTTAAAACATCCTGCAGTAAACTAGGCCCAGACAATTCTAGGATAAACTAACATGAGTTTGCTGCTATTTAGCTGTTTCTGACATCAGAAAACAGCTAAGTTCAATAGTTGACTAACAGTTTATAGAAACATGTAAATCAAAATTAACTGAGATAGAGAGTTTTTCAAATTTGAACTCTCTTTGCATCTCTCAAGGTTACCTTTTTAGAAAAAAAAACTTTTTATAATAGTTGCATATTTACAGAAAAGTTTCCATGATAAAAACTGTTTATGTGATTTACCCTGCTGTTAACTTCTTGTTATATTTTGGGGAGGGTACGGGGAAGGACCCACACTTGGTGCTACTTGGTGGATACGTATCTTCCAACTCGTACTCAGGGGCTGCTCCTTGAAGTGCTCAGGGGCCCATGTGGTGCTGGGGCTCGAACCTGGGCCTCTGTGCACACAGCATGCACTCAGCCCATCAAGCTATTTCTCCGGCCCAGTTTCTCACTATGTAAAAGGTAAAAGGTAAAGGCCCTCCCGTTGATCGTCGATTTGCTCGAGCGGGCCCAGTAACGTCTCCATTGGAGACTTTGTTGTTACTGTGTCTGGCATATCGAATACTCTCGGTAGCTTGCCGGGCTCTCCGAGAGGGGCGGAGGAATCGAACTCGGGTCGGCCATGTTGGCCGCTTGTAAGGCGAACGCCCTACCCGCTGTGCTATCGCTCCAGCCCTATGTAATAGTACATTTATCATAGTTAAGAAGCCAGCTGTTCATTCAGTATTCCTAAGTAAACTTTATGATTTTATTTGAGTTTTATTAATTTTCCCCTAAGTATCCTTAAAGAAAAAATTTCAGGAGCGCCAGAGAGATAGTACAGAGATTAAGGTACTTGTACTGCACACCACCAGCCCCAGTTCAATCCCTGCTACCACATATGGTCTCCTAAGCACCACCAGGAGTATAAGCCCTGAACACTGCCAGGCATGGCCCCAAAACAACACACACACACACACACACACACACACACACCCCTTTTTGTCTGTGTTTTTTCTTATTAAAGCATTGTGATTTACAAAGTTATCGATAGTTGAGTGTTAGACATAAAATATTGCAGCAAAAATGTTTTTAAAGCAGTATCATGTCCTCACTGAACATAGAAGAAAGAAAAATTTTGTTTTTCAAATAATGCTGCTTGGGGGTATGGATGTGTAACATGGCACAATGGTGTCAGTGTTTAGCGATTTGCACCATATATGAGTCGGCCAAATCCCTCAGCCACAGCAGGCTGCTGTGAGCAGTCTGTGTTGTCAGCTCAGCATTTGTCAATTGCCTTAGTCATTTTGAGTTGCCGTGATCAGATACCACAGACTGGGGGGCCTATAAACAATAGAAATATGTTCCTTATGCCTCTAGAGGCTGGAAGCCCAACATCCAGGGGCCTGGAGTTCGTGCATGGGGTGGCCCTGCTGTCCCATTCACAAGGGTCTTCTCAGCATCCTGTGCGGGACAGGCCAGAGGACACACTAGTTGGAACAGGAATCCCATTCAGGAAGACCCCACCCTCAGGACCCAGTGACCTCCCAAGGGCTCCATCTCCTTCCATCACATTAGGGTCAGGTCTCAACATGTAAACTCCGGTGGTGGCAGGGTGCAGGTAAAGGAGGACATGTAGTCCTACGCGTTAATGATGAGATAATTTCCAACATGGTAGAGATTTCCTGGGAAACTTCTCCTAATAAAAGTAAATCTTTGATTTACACCATTGATCCCAAGAAATTATAATCTGGGTAATTAAGATATGCAAAATACTTTGCAGAAATGTGTGCAATGGAGTTAGTTTTTAGACTCAATTAAAAAAGTAGATTGTGAGCACCAGACCATTAGTACAGCAGGTGGGGCCTTTGCTTTGCATACAGCCAGCCTGGTTCAGTCCTGACATTCCGTATGATCCTCCAAGCACTGCCGGGAGTAATGCTGCCAGGAGCAATCTCTGAGCATCACTAGGTATGACCCAAAAAGATGAAAAAAAAAAAAAGATTTTTCAGGCCAGACACTGAAAGTATTAAGGCATTCACCTTGCGTGTAGCGAGTTCCAGTTTGATCCCTGGCACCACATGGTCCCCTGAACAATGCAGGACTGACCCCTAATCACAGAACCAGCGATAGCCCAAGAACCTAAAAAGTAAAATTAAAAGTAAATTTTTCATGTCTTCAGTGTCCAATAGAACATATGAATGAGCTGCAGATGGTGGGACAAATCTTTCTTGCCCTAACACATGTGGGTCAATCTCCAGCATCCCTAACCCCAGAGAAGGACTTGTAATAACCCAAGAATACCTACTTGTTTCCAAAATACTCTGTCTCCTTTGTTGAAAACTGTTTCGTTCTTTCCACCTTTTGTCTTTACATCTTAGTACTTCCATGTTTTATTCACAACGAGGGAAAAGAAAACCCAGAGGGCGTAGAGAGGGTTATAAATCTCTCCTGATAGGTATCCCTGATATGTTGATAGAGTCTTGTTTTCTATTCTCTGTTTACTCAAAGAGAAAAATTCTTTCATAATAACCTGCATGTTTGTTTCTTAAATAAACTTGAAGTCTGTTTTCAGAGTACTGAGAGTCCTAAAATATTTTTATCCATTAGTATCTATAATGTGGCTAACATTTCCTTAATTTGGAAAAGACTAGTTTCTGTTTTTCTAAAATATTGCAAGAATGATTCTTTAAAATCAAATACTTGGCTGGAGCAATAGCACAGCAGGTAGGGCGTTTGCCTTGCACAAGGTCGACCTGGCCAACCCCGGTTCTATTCCTCCGCCCCTCTTGGAGAGCCCGGCAAGCTACCTCACCTGCACGGCAAAGCCTGGCAAGCTACCCGTGATGAATTCGATACGCCAAACACAGTAACTACAAGTCTCGCAATGGAGACATTACTGTGCCCGCTCGAGCAAATCAATGAACAGTGGGCGGACAGCGCTACAGTACTACTGGGCTGGGAAAATGACCCAAAGGTTGGAGCTCTTGCCTTGCGTACTGGAGTCCTGGGCTTGATCCCTAGTCCGACAAGGTCTCCCAAACACCCCTCAGTGCGGCTCAAAAGCAAACTAGCAAAAAAAGTCAAAGACTTATTAAACTTCAGATATTGGTTGGATCCAAGATTCAGTTATGTGTTTCATTCACAGTAGTCTGCTTAACTTTTGTCACTAAGGATCTTTTGAAAATATGATGTAAGCTATAAGCGGTAAATACTTCTTCTATGTGAAAAGCACAGATATATTTAAACACTCAGATATTTATGTGAAATTTCAAGGTGTTCACAGACCTCTTAAAGTCC